GTTTAGGGGTTTTGGGGTTTCGGGTCTAGGGGTTTAGGGTTTAGGGTTTTAGGGGTTTGGGGTTTAGGGGTTTGGGGTTTAGGGGTTTGGGTTTAGGGTCAGACCATAATTACGCCGAGAAGGGACACGTGCCATGTCAAAGATGAAAAGGTTCGAACCATGCCTCCATGCCCACAACCGCAAGGCATGAACTCCAAAATGGGCATAATCCTCAAAGCCTACAATCTCAAACCGCAAATCTTGCCAGCCCTCGCCAGATCCAGCCTCCCGCAAGAGCCGCATCTTGTCTGCCATTGGGTCTTCTGTGGCTCCAAGCCGCAAGCGCTGTTGAAAGCTTGCCTGGCATGTTTTTGCTGGGTTGGGTTTAGGGTTTAGGGGTGAGGATCCAGCATCTGTGCAAAGAGACCTTCTGATATCCTTATAACTCTACTTATGACCTACTTACTAAGTCCCCTGCGCCTCCAAGGACACCCACAACAGCCTGATATAGGGGCCTGAATATGTAGAATAGGGTTTGGGAGGGTATTTGATGCTATTAGCCTCAGGTTGATTCTAGACCCGAACTTGGAGAACCTGAAGCTCGCCAGCCTGCTCATAGTGCGCAGAATGAGAAGTTCCAAACCGGATGGGTTTAGGGTTTAGGTTTTAGGTTTTTGGGGTTTAGGGTTTAGGGTTCTCCAGCCTGAGGTCTTCAACGAAGCTCGGGGTTTAGAATTTAGGGCCTTTTACCCTAAACCCTAAACCCTAAGCCCAAGCCCGTGAATAGGAACCTCGGAACTCAAGGTTCCATCTACCCGTAATGTAGGGGCCTGAACCATTAGAACAGGGTTTAGGGGCCCAATTTCCGAATAGTACAATGAAGAAGCCCCAAAATGGTATAGGTGATGATTTAGGCCCCTACATTATAGTAGAAAGAACGCAATGGTCTCGGACTTCTATCAACCTCAAGACATGCCATTTTCCGCCTGAAAGTGGCGCAGCATGCCACGGGCGGCCTGAAACCCCGACAAATCTGCGACTTTTGAAGCTTCGGGGAGAGGTCTGGGCTTGAGGGTTTAGGGATTTTTGCGTTGGAGGTGCTTCTCCTACTGGTCAGTCGGAATACCACTCGGTGGTGGACCCGCGGGGTTGGGGGTCTGTGTTCTGAGCCCTGTATGCAGACCCTCAAACTTGTGGAGAGTACAACGCGGCTCTGTGCTTGGCTATGAAAAACTGACTAGAACTCGTCAGACAACCACACCAGAATTGAGAACTGGTCGGGCATATGGTCAATGGTGCGACGGGGGTTAGAGTTATATACTCTGGGGGAGCAGATAACCCCGAGATCGCCTTCACACGCACGGGCCAGCTCTGCTTGGAGGCGTTGAGAGTCAGCGACGCCAGGCGGTTGTAGAGATTCTGTCCTCGAGCAACGCCGGCTTTCTTTGCCAAACACAGGCTGCACTTACTTCGCGGCATCATTAGCCCATGGAGATTGCGGATGGCCTATACTGGGCCCTGCGGTTAAGGCGTCGATGGCGGGCTGTGCAAACTTTGTCCCAAAAACGAAGATGTGAGCATGTCTTTATCAACGTGTGCCCCGAAATGCAGCAAACCGCACTTTAACAGAAAACAATTGCACCCCCATATCTCTCCGGGAGCTATAGGCATAGCTAAGATTCAAGATCAAGGATTCTGCATCCTTTGTCTCTGAAGCCCCTAAAACCTAAACCCTAAACCCTAGACCCCAAAACCTAAACCCTAAACCCTAAACCGGCTTTTGGATCTGACGGCTTAGGGTTTAGGGTTTAGGGTTTATGGTTTAGGGTTTAGGGTTTTTGGGCTTAGGGTTTAGGGTTGGGCGTCCTGTTGCTTGATGCCACTGGAGGATGTCTCGGGAAAGCCTGGGCGCCGTCGCCTGACGGACCGCAGTACACGGAGGCACTGAGATGCACTGAGTTCTTCCCCAAGCTCTGCGTCCACACATTCGGGGTTCTTGCACAAAGGGTGAATTGAACAAGGTTGAGGTGCAAGACAAACGCGCGGCCAGTTCAGCAGCGCCAGCTGCGATAGCTTGTGACATGCCCGCTCCACGAACCCCAAACTGAAGGTGCACTTATTTGGGATCTACGGCCTCAAATTGTCTTGGTGAACCATGACACGAATAAGTTACATCACCTAAACCCTAAACCCTAAACCCTAAACCGTGTCTAGTGCAGCGGACTTTCGTGGCCGCAGCTGCCGCCGCCGAAACTGCTGCGGCATGATAACGATGCTTACCCTGGCCTTGCACCGAGAAAGCCTGACTTACGTTAAATACAATGCCCTCCTGGGAGAATTTCGCCTCGCTGCTAAACGCCGAACCAGTATCGAAGTCTTTAGGCTTAGGGTCAGGAGCAAGTTTTAAAAACAGAATCATAGGTTTAAAGACCATAATTCCGCAAGCAAATTCCCTAAAAAGTTGCGGAATTCGTTAGAGCTAGATTCGGTTTTTGGTAAGTCCGTGTTGTCGCAGCCTTTGCTTGTTGGAGTCGGAACCGCTATTTAGCACAAGGGCCTCTTTTACTATGCTTCGCGTTGGTTGCATGCGCTTCTGTTGCCTCGCGTGCTTCCTGGAGTCAGAATTTCGATATTGGGCACTTATCTAAATGAGGGTCCCTTGTAGAGCCCTTTTTATAAGGGTGTCCTACTATTTGGGGAACCTACAAAGGGAACCTGATTTTAGAGAACTACCCATTATCATTTTTTCTCCGAACAGTGACTTGTGCAGGGAGCTCTATCACGACCCGCAAAAGACCCACCAACAGTGGCCCCGATGAGCGTACGCCATACGTTCGTTAGCAATGGATTCGCTCGAGCTTTCCACAAGCAGGGCCTAAAACCCTAAAGCCTAAACCCAAACCCCTACACCCTAAACTCCTAAACCCAAACCC